TATAATATGTAAAATGTTACATCTGAGGAGGAAAACATAAGTGGGGTTGGTTGGTTTAAATCAAAGTAATGAGCTCATTTATTCATTTAAATCAGTAAAAAGGAAATCTTGACATAAGTGATATATTAATATTTCATATTTTGGATTTGTACACATTTAATCCCTTCTGATGATTCTTATGGGTCACCAATCAACAAGCACATGTTGTCAAATACCACCTTCATTATTCCTTCCCTGCATAGGGAATAGGAGGATGTGTTAGGCATGTGCCCGTTTACTGAAGTATATATAGAGCTTAATGTATATTTGCTGCGTCCTTGGTTTTATTATTGTAAAAGATGTCATTTAATTATTTTTTTAATTAGATTGTTTCAAAAACCCATCATCTATTTCAAAGCATGTTTATCTATAATTAGAATTCATAGGTACTCAGGGTTCAAATAAAAAGCAGGGAACTACCATTTTAAAGAACCATTTTAAAGCAGTTAAAATTACCATCAGTATAATAAATATGCATAAAGGTGAGCTTATTTAAGCACATTTTACATTTCGAATTCACTTAGAAATGTGAAATATTATCTGTAACGGGAAATTGGAGAAGTCAGTCATTCTCACCTACTTCTTTTTCACTGAACAGAGAAGAAATCTTCATTTTATACTTTTTAAATTCCTGGTAGAGTTTGCAGCTTGAATAGAACTAGTCATTAAACCAAACTAGCTCAATAAATGGAAATGAAGAAAATATTCACTTTATATTTGCAGAAAGCTGAACAAACTCTGGCTTCAGGTTTTTAGTTGTTTATTGATTTGAACTGGTCTCAGTCTAGGCCTCAGCATGCAAGTGTTACAATGTTCAATGGCTTTCTTAGAAAATTAAATATCCAGTTTACATGTTTAGAAACCGGGAGGAGGTTGTGGGATTTCTACTATGTTAAATTGGCTTTTTTTCACCCTGAATCATACCCCAGGACAGCCATGGTAAGTCTCTGTAATAAAAACATAGAAGAACAGAGCTCTGTCACCAGAATTGCCAAATCTACTTTCTGCTTTTTGTTCTTTATTTAAGTGATCGGAGGTTCAGAAGATCCCAGAGGAGCATATGACGTTTCATAAGGGTTCATAAATTATGCAGTCAGACTTGTTGGATTACAAAAGGCTGGAAGCAACAAGTGCTTCTTGCATTATAAATGAAATGGCTTATTTACAAAGATGACATAGCTATATTAATTATGAGAAGTTATGATTACAGGGTCAGGCCTGTGCTGTTTAAGGTGTTAATTAGAAGAAACTCATTTTCGAGAAGAAGCAGATGCATGGTTTTTGTTTGCTGTGTGTTCACTGATGTGCACTGCTGATTGTATTCTAAACCATCTTCCCTTTCCAGCAATTTTAAGTGGTTTTTCCTCATGCATTAGTCTAATGTCAATGCAATAAAAGACTCCTCTATCAAGGTTCTCATTCGAAATTAAAAATGGTGATCACCTCCATAGGTAGAAAATCCAGCTTGTTCCCTGCTGTACGGCACTGGTCAAGCACTGGCTGGAGCATGCTATCATCCATGAGTGTTGAAGAGTTATTGAAGGAGCTAATTAGAGGCATGACCCCTGAAGTAAAGATGCTGTTATTACATCTGCAATCATCTACTCAGGGCCCTTGCACCTGCCTTGCTGGCACTCAGGCTTTTCCCCCTTTCTCCCTGGTAACATTCCCAGGCAGAGGCAGCTCCCGCGTGGCTCCTGGAAGACTCCTTTTGCCCTCCATGAGTACTTTGTCCTACAGCTCTTCACATTCCCTCCCATGTGCCTGCTTGGGAGGGAGCAGCAATCCCGAGGCTTGCCAGGGAGCTGTCAGTTTGATTTAATACAGAAATGCCCAGGGACATGTCATGCCTGAGTAGGGATTTTAAGGTTGGGCTCACCCTTGCTCTTAGGAGCATCTCTGAGTGACTGCTCCTTTCCAAGTGCGTGTTGAGGAGAGAAGAAAGAGAGGTGGTGAGTGTGATGGTGGGCAAGGCTTGGGAGCATGAAGGTCTTAGTAGGAGAGTGCAAGAGCAGGTTGTGAGTTGGCTTGGCATAGATTGGGGTGAAGGAGGATCGAGAACACAGGTGGGAGGCCAGAGTTGGGGGAGAGCAGGGCATGAAATGGAAAGATAAGAAAAATGGGACAGCCTTTCAGCCTTTTGAATAACCAGTTGCCTCTCTTGGAGCCTGTTGCTCTTTGTGCAGGCCTTGAATGTGAATTTTTTATTGCAGATGGGTGGGTTTGGTGCTCGTGAATTGCATTACACACTGATTGTCTTAGTTTTCTGCTATGACACTCTTGAGTTATAGGGAGGAAAATGAAGCTTAATGGGTGTTCTTGATTTTATAGATCACCTTGTGGCTTAAGCCAAGTACCCACCCCCTGCAGGTCTTACTTGTTTTTCTGTTTCACCTACAAAGTAATTTGAACTTCTTCCTGTCTTCAAGTGTCTTGTTAGGCTGTTCTGGGTAAGGCTCAGCCAAGTGAGGAGGGATATCCAGCAGTGCTGGGAGTTGGGAGTATGTTTTGCAAGGATAGCAAGAGAAGTTGTGATTTGCATTTTAAACAGGACGGGGGTTTACAAAGCTGCTGAAGTCTCAGGGAAGCTTAAGCATTAGTGACCCTTAAGGGATTAAAGAGAGTTTAAATTTTAGCAGGCATTTCACTAATGAAATCACAGGTTTATAATTTCATTTCACATCCACGGCTAGATGCTAATCGAAGCACATCCTTCCTTTTCTTGTTACAGGGCTATGTGGATAGCTCAATTAACGTCATCAACAGCAAGGAAGCATAAACAGCCAAAGGCACAAGATGCTGTGCCTGCATGGCTTTCACAGAAACAGGACAGAAACTCTTTTAAGGGATGAAAATGACTTTTCCTTTACAGAAGACAAGCAAGCCCTCGGCATGTTTGCATTTGTGGCCCCTTCTGTTTTAGTCCTAATATGCCTTTTTACTGAGAGCTGGCCTAAGATGACCTGCTCCTGCAGTGTTTACAGACTCCTAAAATGTGCATGCAAGCAGTCTGGTCCTGCCATAGGCTGCAAAACCTCTGCCTTCTCTACCCTCAGCTGAGATAGAAAGGACTTGCTGATTTTATGAACCCAAAATGCAGGTACTGCTGTACAAGAAGCCCGTTCTCCATCCTACTGAAGACAAATACTGAAAATACTCTATGTCCTTAATATTATTACACATTATGTGTCACTTTTCCTTCACTGTGTGTATGTAACAAACTGGAATGAGAGTGATATCTCTGTTCAGGAATGAATGCAGCCATTTCTGAGCTGACATGTGTCAGCAGTGTGTCAGTGAAATGCTATATACCAGCTTTAGAGACAAAGAAGTCCATCAAATGTAGCTTAGAAGTCACCTCACCAGCACCACGAATTTACAAGGAGCTGTAAGATACGGAGGTGAGGGAAGAAGGAAACAAGGAAAACAAGAGCAGAGACTGAGAAAAAGGTGTGGCTAAATAGAGAATGACAGGATGAGCTGAGGGGTTCTTTGTCCTGCCTTTTTTCAGGTATGTCTGAGTTCAGTTGCAGCTATCATCATTTCTTGTCATCACAAATATTTTCCCAGGGCTTCCAACATTTAAAGCTTTTCTTCAGGGATGAGATGAATCATTATATGTTTGAGAACACAGAACACAGAATTCTAGAAATACACTCCATTCAAATGAATTATAATGGTTCATTTTACACCCCACAGAGGGCATTGCTTATTTTTCAGTCTTCTGAATAATGTGACATAATTTTTATCTGACTGACTATACCAAGTAATTTAGGTAAAATAGGAACCCATATAATCAGCTTGTGTCTTATCCAGGTAAAGAGCATTGCTGGTTTATGATGACCTCCTGTTGGTCCAACAATAGAAATCTAGTAAAATTCCACAACCAAAATATCTTCTGTATGAACTGCATGTTTTACTGGTCATGATGACCTTACATACTCATTAGCCTTATCAGAAGGTATTATTGTTCATTATATTTCACACAACATCCCTTAAAGGTGCCTTGATACAGAAAGTCTGCAACTGATACTAAATATTTTGAAACCTGAATTTGTCAGCTCCAGCAGTAATTGTACAGTCTTTAGGGATTTAAAGCCATACGATAGCATCCCATAAAGCTGTTGCTAGTGATGCAGTGCTGGTTATGGTGATGGCTGCTGACCTTACAAAATTTTTACTGTATAGGTACATGAAAATTCACAGCTTTATTTGACAAACGTGTTGCACAGTTTTTACTAGCAGGTGCTGATGATTCCCCCTTCTGTTTTTGTAACCATGAGAAGAACAGTCAAAGTAAAATTTCATTCTTTTCCCCAAAGACTCATTGAAGGGTTTATAAAGAAAGAGAATCCATTGTAGTTATCTTTTATCTTACTTGATAGACTCTTTCTGCAGGATAACACCTTTCTATTATAACCAGAAGATTGGCTTTCCCATTTATGTAAGTTTTATGATTCTTTCCAAAGACTTACCTGTCTTTGTCTGTGTCTGAAAACTGTTTAGGCTGGTTTCACCAGGTTCTGAAGGGACCAAAGCGAAAGATATCCCATTTGTAATGTGAAATTACTCCTGCCATTAGAAAAAATACTGCATCACAGCTTTGAGTAGCTGCTTTTAAATGCATACCTTTGAAAGCAGAAACTAAAGACCATGGGAAAAACCCCAAACTGAATTTACCAAACTGTACTTCTTTGAAGACATGTATTTACTCATTTTTGATAAGGTGGAGCTTGATTAGATGAGATTATGTGGAAAAGATTATTATATAAAGGGTCCAAGTCTGATATCATTAAGGAGAACTGGAAGATAGCAATTCTCAGGGATGTTTCAGCATTGTTGTTCTTGAATGTTGTACCAGGAGTTTCATACTTAAATTGGAAAAGACTGATGGACTTAGCTCCCAGCTAAATAAGCTTTTGAAGTACTCAGCACACCTCCTGTGCAAGAGAGGCGCAACCATGGTGAAAATCAGAGCAGTTCCCTCGCCCTATGAGATTGTAATGGCCCTTTCATACACGTGGTGTCCCTCTGTGCACTGGGAGATCCTCAGCACAGGGGCCAACCTCACTGTACCTCCCTCATGTGTCCTTGCCTCCCTCTTGGCCAAAGCACAGGGAGAGGTGGCACAGGACTGGCTTCACTGGTTTGTGCCTGGATCATGTACATCTTCAAAAGAGAAGCTTGCCATCCAAGTGTCTTCTGCTGATTTTAGTAGGACTAAGATTTGGGCCTGTTGTTGATATCCATGCAGGAAAGATAGGGTTGGGTTTTTGTTTGCTTTGCCTTTATGATCTTAATGTGTGAAGTTAGTGTGTCTGCCTAACTGGCTATTCCCTGAGGCTTTTTCCTTCTTCTTTGCTTCAGGAACAACCAATAGAAATGTTGCATGGAAGCAGTGATCCTGTGCTGATTCCATGTGTCATCCCTTACTCAATAGTTGACTAAGAGCTGGCTACTGTCTTTGTAGAAACTAGAGGGTGCATAATTCAGTTTTTCCATTTGTGTTACAGTTCCTTCTTGGGAATTCCCCTTGGAGATACATTTGTGTGCTCAGAAACTGTGCTAAAAGACCAACTTAATGCAAAATGATCCCTAGGAGGAATGAAAATCTTTGCTTGTGAAAGGTCACCAGAAAAGTGGCAGTAAGGTCACAGAATTGGGCTGCACCAGGGGAAAAAAACATTCTTTCTTTCTCTGTTGGGTCCCAAAATCAGTAACTGAACATTTGGCTTGATGAAAACTGAGAAATGAGCTTGGCTTATTTTTTTACCAAGCAAATTGTCTGACTGCAAATTCTGAGATTACCAAAGTAACAAAATTGAGCTAAATGTCATGTTATCCCTTGTTTAACGAAAAACAAGTAAGATCATCACTGACTTTATTGAAGGAAGTAGGTTTGCTGCCTTAAGCATAAGAAAGTTCTTCTAAATCTCCTGTAAAAATGGATAACCCTTCTCTATTATTATCTTTACAGTGTGTAATCCCATGAACATAATGACTCTGTTTCTCATTGTTCATCATGTGAGCAAATGATAAAGGGTCTTTGGCAGTTTGCACTGGAAGTCTTGAGCCATGCAGCAGAGGCACAGGCATGAAGCGCAGAGATTTGTTTGACTTGGTACTGCACTGACAGTAGCCAAATCTTGTGATAAATGTATGACAAACTTTAGTTCTCATGGTAAACTTCACCAGATAGAGGAGTAAAACTGCACAAGAGGAGATTCTCTTCTGCTTCAGCAAAGAGAGGGGACACTAGTGAAATTTCTTTTCGTGAACAACCCTGGGTATCAGAGCTCTGCAGAGGGGCAGAGGCCGGGTGTAGGTGATGGCTGTCTCCAGCACACATGGCACAAAGGTACTTGGACTGGATTCTGGCCATCAGGTCATCATTAGGCTCTCTATTTGTCCACCACAGCATCACGCTGAGCTCTTCGGTGGAGGGAATGATTTAGCCTCAGGAAACAGATCTGTACTGAAAATCTTCTACTGTATTAAGCTCCTTCTCTCTGAACCATGGAGGCATTTCATCCCTATCATGCAGTAAGTAGCTGAGGCTCTCTGATGCCTCTTAGGCTACAGCGCGATCATTTTCAAATCTTCCAGGCATCCCTCCCACTGGCATTAATTGCCCCCCTGCTGCTCCTGTTGCAGAGCTATTTGCTCTTTCAGTGTGCAGTACTTGTTCAGTGCTGCACTAAACGCTTGTTGCTTTGCACTAAAAGAAAAAAAGCTTCAGTTTATGCAAATGACATTGAAATTGATAAAGTGATAAACAATCGTGTTGTATGATTGCAGCTGTTGGGGTTTTGTTATTTTACAGTTAATTCTGTGGAAGTGAAGGGCTTTACAAACTCCCTTCTGGCATCAATGCAGTAATACAGCGCTCCCATACCGATGTTTTAAGAATTTGGTAGGGCCACCAAACAAACGTGATAAGGGGTTCACATACATCCAACATCACAGTGTCCCTTTTCCCTGTGGTAGAGCTCCCTCCCAGCTCGAAACCTCCCTGTACCTAGCAGCTCATCTTCTTGTTTTAATTACTATGTCTTTGGGGGGCAGTTAGGTTTCATTCCCTTTTCTTTATTTCTTCTTCCTCTCTGCTCCTGACACATTATTATTCTTTCCAGTGACTGACCACGGCTCCAAAAATCCCATAGTCCCCAAGAGTAATTACAGATACATTTCTGTGCCATCCCCACTGGTAGCTTGGGTCAAGTACTTTATTTTTATCCAGGTCAGCTGCAGAGAAGTCTGGCTGACTTTGCTTTGTCAGTAGCTGCATGGCAAGACAGGACTATTTCTGTTACCTGAGTATTTCTGCTGTAGAGGTTGGTCCTCTCCAGAGTCTGGAGTACCTGGTACCACAGCAGGGCTGCTAGTGGCCATTAATAGAAGGTGTGAGGCCCCCACAGAGATTAAATGTCAAAGGGAAAAAGCTAGAAAGAGCGTGAATACAGCTGCATGAGGAGTAAATGAACACAGTTTGATTGTGTCTTTGTCTGCATAGGGTTGGATGACCTGCATGCTTGTGCTGACCCTGGAGCTCCTGAGCATGGATACAAGACACCCAGTGCTGGTGTCTTCTTTGAAAGCGTGGTAGTCCGGTTTCATTGCCAAGAAGGATACAGGCTTAATGGTACTTCAAAAAAACTTTGTGTGAGACACTTTAATGGCTCCCTGAGCTGGAAACCAAGTGATAAACCTGTGTGCCTACAAGAAGGTAAGTCAGTTTTCTTAAAGCACTTCACCAGCATCAGTTCTCGCTTGTCCACGTCTGTGTGTCTCAGCACAGAACACAAGAGGCTTGAGTTCTTTTCTCTGTGTCTTATTTGATACATGCTTCAGTTTCTGATCCATCCCATCCATTGTTTTTCGGTTAAGTATGGCCTGTGAAAGATTGTGTGTATGTACACATGCATGTCTTGAAAGGGATATAAAGAAATATGAAGAAAAAAAGATACTTCCGCCTTTAACTAGTTACAAATTGATGCAGAGAGAAGATACAACCTGCAGTATAAGTAAACCGTTTGTAACTGTTTATTAAAGTTGCCCAGTTAATACTCCTTTTTGCAACATTTTACTAGGAAAATATAATGAACTTCCAATGCTGCTGTTCCTGCTAATCAGGAGGTTTCAACAATTATATTTTATGATGTGTGCATGAATCAAGTAGGAAAATCAAATACTCACGGACAGTAGAAGTTTACTTTGAGATAATTCAGACGATTATGGCATAAACCAATTTATTTTTATTGTATTGTGGTGTTGAAATTGTATATGGTTTCAAATAATTAGGATGTTAAATTATTTCCTGCTTCTAGGAGTTATAAAGAGGCAGGATTAATTTGAATATCATAAGTGTAAATTTTGGCCAAAATACATCCAAGCAGCACAAATGATTTACTTTACCAAGTATATTAAAGATATAAATTGTTCTTTTTGTTGATCAATTTCAGTCAACAGAGCTGTTAAGATCAACAGGCATGAAAAGTGTTAGTTAAATCGAGTGTATCAGTTTTAGTGTTGTGACTTCTCCACTGAGGTCATTAGGCATTGCCTCCTTGTCTTCAAGGTGGAGCAAGATAAATTCTATTTCAGGATGCCTTCCATCATTGAGAATCAGATAAATATAAGGACATTATTCAAAAGTAGTTGAAGACTTCTGAGGCTCATAAGTGTACTCACTGCCTAGGATCATGCATCACTCAGCATGTATCAAAACTGCAGGTACTTGTTTATGCTGAGGAGCGGGTGGGTATGAGACTCCCGTGCCAGGGCAGGGGTGCATGAAGGGACATGCCACAATGGGAGATGAACCATGCTCAGGAGATGCTCGTGAAGGGAACAACCCTAAACAAGTGGTCTGTGTGAAAGTGGTGCATGAGGTATTAGGGAGAGTAGCCAGAGGCAGCTGGTCAGTAGCCCATGGTCTTTCAGGTCGCTGCCGTGTTGACAGGAGAGGTTTTGGTAAAATGTGGGCTCCTGGACATGTGTGAGGCCACAGGCTACAGAGCTGTGAGGGGCACAGTCATGAGCTGTCTCATGGTACACACCGAGATGACAGCTGATGTTGTAAAACATAAAGGCAATGGGGCCAGTAACACTTGGTCATGATGGTGGCATAGGTCGGCTTCACAGACATAATCTGTTGCCTTTCAAAATGATGTATGTGTGAAAGGTGCTACAGCACCTTTCACAGACGCCCTTGTCTCTCATCCCATGGTGATTTAAGAAAAAATACATGTAGAGTGCCAGCAGCATATGTCTAAACTGGCCATATGAACTACCGAAAAAAAAGCTGTAATTCTTGGAAAATTTGTTTTCTTAACCTCTACAGGTAGCTTCTAGGAATTTTGATGTGCAGCTTGGAAATAGTACCTGTATCATCCACTGCAGGTGTTAAAGTAAGCATTAACATGTTTGAATATTCATACCTCTCCCCAGTGAACCCCCCAGTCCAGTGGGAATCTGTGGACGAAGTTTCTGATCATAATGCCATCAATAGCAAAACTGCCACTGATGTCAGTGTGATCAACACCAAATCCAGGTGTTTTCAAGAAAGAAAGAAATTGGAAGATGAGAATGTGATGGATGATGTGGCAACAGTTGCTTAAGAGATGATCATTACTTCACAGCATAGAACACTTAAAAAGGATTGCTAGCCAATACTCTGATAGAGCAAAGCGCATAACTGTAATTATGTGATGAGTGTTGTTAAAGTTCTGTGCTCAAAATTAGGCATACACAAAAATGCTTTTTATTATTTGGACTGAAAAGTGGGATCCCAATTCAGGATTTACTGAAGCAAGTGCTTTAGCACTTTCCTGGTTAACGGTACAATAATACCTCAGGTAATATTAAAATAATCCTAGGGTTTAGCAATAGATGGCAGAACTTATTCTTCTTTCCAATGCACAATACAGCCACTGATTCAGAAGAAATACTAAGCAAAGGTGCAGTAGCAACCCATGAAACCTAAGCATTTGTTTAAGTGCTTTTTAGAGTGATCCTTTTATATACTGGAGCAGAATCAGGCATGACAAGGAGGGGGGAAGTGTAGGAACACAGCGCATCTGGAGAACAGTTAAGGAAGAATTATAAAAGGGTTTGTAATTCTCAGCTGATAATGACATACATAAAAGTCCTCATGGCAGAAATTCTGTGATGATATATAAGAAGAAAGTTGAAATTTGGAGCAACTACTAGAGAAGAAGTTAATGTTTTACCATTCATCATTAGCTATCACAAGGCAAAATAAACTTTAAATTGCATTTACCCGCTTAAGGCAGGGGCTGACTGCCATACGTGATGTGGTATGCTCTGCACGCCTCTCATCCCAGTATATGTGAATGTCAGATATTGCCAGCTGAACTCGAACACTAAAAATACTCAACACTTTGCAGTTGATTGTAAGTTCGTCTCAGGAATTTGGATCCAACTAAGGATGGTTGCATATAATTTTATGTCTCTATATTATGTACATTTAATTGTTGTTATGTGCTTACTAGAACAATCTCTAATCACAAATGAATGCTATTTACCAAAGCAACCTGTTCAGAATGTAACTGATTTTAAAACTAATACATTCACCTGGAGCTGTTCATCCAATCAATTTGACTTTATAGGTCTGTCATTTCTTGTTAAGACACAGGAGATTTTAAGTGTCAGTACGAGAATGAAGTTGCATGAGTAGGTGCCCAATAAATGCCCTGTCAAAAATCGGTGTGCTTAGAGTTACGTTCTCATGTTGATCTACAGCATGTTCTGACAGTACCTTCCATCAATTCTAATACAGTTATGCACATGAACACCAAAGCTCTAAGGCAGGAATTTTGTATTTACTGTTTAAGAGCAATATGTCATGTTGTTCACACTTTAATCTAATCTTCTCCCACTGTGATAATGTGGCTGCTGAGCCTGTTGCCCTACTTGGAACAAATGCTATCTCTTTCCTATGAGATTGAATCTAAATTTACAGTCTACAGGGAGATGGCAATCAAGCGAAGAGCCCTTCTCTCCCAGTGCTTCTGCAGCAGACACCTCTGAGATGTCCTCAGTGTCTCATTCTCCCACTGACAGGGATGATAAACCTGCAGTGAAAGTAGTGGAGGAGCGGCTACAGATTTCCTGTATGACATTTAGCATTCATTTCTCTTTGCCTTTATCCCTGGATCTGTGAGGTGACTGAAATACTCTAATTTCTCCATCTCTTTTCTGTCTTGCTCAGTGTTAGCTGCTTCTTAAGCCTGGTTACCAGCACTATATAATGTCTGTAACCTGTGCTTAGCACAATGGCCACAGATTTTAGGTGAAGTCTTTGTGCACTCTTGTAATACAAGCAAAGACAATAAAGAGAAAGTGTTATTCAATATGCACTAAAATACTGTTTGCCATCCACAGAAATACCCTGCTAACGCACTACTGTGGATTTAATACAGGAAACATTAAAACACAGGACACAACATCATTCTTAAATATTTACTTTTAAGAGCACAGAGTCCAGATAAGCTGTCCTTGCATTCAACCCATTCTTCATGTTGTTCCTCTCATCCTGTCCATTCCAGCCTGTCAGTGCTGTGGCTAGGTGTAGCCAAGGCTAATTCAGAGACTGCTCCTCATTGAGACACACAGGAGCACTGCACATCTGCATTCGAGTTTACATACAGACTAGTAAATAAAGCAGTGCTGGGGCAGGGACCAGGACATTGTTCTTCAATTGTACACACTGCTACAGTGTTAGAAAGGTCCCTGACATGGTTTTGGCCAATGTCAAGTAGTACTCCCCACACAATTCCTGAAGGGACCTTGTGGATTAGCATGGACCAGGGACAATTTTTGGAGTTCACCTGCAAAAGACACAAGCTATGTCAAGCCAGCTAGCACCCATGGATGATGTGGCTATCTCCACAGTGTCGAGGTCATGGCTTCCTTCTGAGTTACCTTTATAGCCCAGGTGCTCTTCAGAGGAGGGAGGTGGTCATCCTTCCCCATGGGCTGGAAGAAACAGTTCTGAGAGATGATGTGCACAGTAACTAAAGCACTATAACTATAGTGTTTAACCAGTTTTGCTCTTCAGACCAATCTTCCTGTGATGGGGACACACTTGGTTAGCTAAAGCCAAGAACTCCTAATGTACAAAGCCTCATCTTCATGATAAGGACATGGAGCTGATGGAGCAAGTCCAGAGGAGGGCCAACAAGGATGATAAGGGGTCTGCAGCACCTCTGTATGAAGACAGGCTGAGAAAGTTCAGGCTGGAGAAGAGAAGCTGAATGGAGACCTCAGAGCAGCTTCCAGTATCTGAAGGGGGCTACAAGGATGCTGGAGAGGGACTCTTCATCAGGGACTTCACTGATAGGACAAGGGGTGATGGGTTTAAACTTAAACAGTTTAAACTGGGGCACTTTTTAACTAAACATTTTAAACTAAACTGGGGAAGTTCAGGTTAGATCTAAGGAAGAAGTTCTTTACTGTGAGGGTGGTGAGGCGCTGGCACAGGTTGCCCAAGGAAGCTGTGAATGCCCCATCCCTGGCCGTGTTCAAGGCCAGGTTGGACAAAGCCTTGGGCAACATGGTCTAGTGTGAGGCGCCCCTGCCCGTGGCAGGGAGTTGGAACTGGATGATCTTAAGGTCCTTTCCAACCCCGGCCATCCTATGATTCATGAAAGTTAAGTCAAGAAGATGAGCCCTTGCACCTGGCATACTGTTGGGCCTGCACCCCTCCTCTTTGTGCCTCTGCAAGGTCAGGCATGTGTTCCTAACTGGGGCATTCTTTTGGCTGACCTGTTCATACAGTAGAGATAAAGCAGATCATACAAAATGGCTCGTAAGGAGTGTTAGTCAATAGCCATTGCTGTTAAAGACCTTGTATTCCCTTAAATGGTTTAGCAGCTTCCATGGATTTGCTGAAAAGTACTTAGAATAAAGCAGTTTATTTTCTAGGACAGAACATTTTGAAATTCAATCATTTATTCTCAGCTTTTCCAAGCAGAATTTGTGCCAGCTAATCCAGCTGTTTGTGGAGAGGTGGCTACTGCAATTTATCCCTGACAAGTGCTAAACAATACAGATTCAGCCAGTGAGAAAGCATTTGCTCTCAAGGTGTCAGGAAAAAGAGCTGTAATACTGTGGTCCATTGGTCTTGTGTTTAGTGTGGGCTTGTAATAGGCCTGTTATCAAAGACAGCCAGGATGTTGCAGGTAAAGAATGGTACAGTGAGCAACTTATCACTGCTCTCTGCCAACATCTAGCTGATTAAAATGATTTGATCTACAGCTGTTACTTGGAATAATGGGGATGAAGTCACTGTAATAGATCATTGTTACACAATCAATTTCCCCCACTTTGAAAGTGAAATCTCATACTGCAGTGTATATATACACACCTCTTTTATTTGTATAGCAACAGAAAGCTGTTATGCCAAGAGAGTGAGCTGTTCATTGGCGTTATCTTCTGGCATCCATCTCTGATCTGATCCTGTGTGGCTGCAGTGCAGGATCCCCATCTATCTCATCCCATCTCTGGGAGTGCCCAGGGCAGTCTCTTTGTGACAACATTCATAGCTTAGCATCAGGCATTTTGAGTGGGGCATCCTCTGCTGTCTCTGCTGATTAACTTGCCAGAGAGAGAGAAAACTGTTCAGTCGTCAAAGGTGATGGCTGCACCCTCATCACAGTGCATTTTATAACCTTCTGTTAGGGTATGCATCCTCCCAGGCTTGGGCATTTATAAATGATTACTCAAATGGCTTTCTGCAGTTTCTCAGATAGCCTGAAAGATTGACAGCCTTTCCTGTTACAGGCAGCAGGAGGTACCTGCAGCAGCAGCCAAGTAACAAGAGAAATGGGAGAATATTTGAGTAATTATATGTCCAGGCCCCATACAACAAGTAAGCGAAGTGCAGTGTATTTTAGAAAACATCCCGGTAATGGGAAGGTGCAAAGGAAAATGTGTTTTAACTCGGGAAGCAGCACTCTTCCACTTCACATTATTAAATCTGGTGATGGACTCTCAGAATAATAGATCCCCTAATTTGCCTAAATAAATAAATAAATGAATACATTAGGAAATACATTTGCTAGTCTGTGTGCGCTGTGCTAAATGACAGTTTATCTTGCTTCTAGTTGTGATTCTGAGCAAACAAGCAAGCAGTTGCCATTGCTTTACTTTGTGCATGCTCACAATTACTTGCTAAATATAAATTTAGAGTTGCCTTTCCTCTTCAGTGCGAATTACCTGTGAAAATGGCAGATACTTTTTCTTTTTTATACAAGTCTCAAGGGACTTCTGAAACTTCTTTTTAAATAAAGATTGAAGATAATTGTATCTTGTGGTAAAAGTGTTGGAAAAAACCCCAGCATAAACCAGGCTTATGATATTTTTACTGTCTCACATTTATTTTAAATACTTCATGAGTTTTGATGCCTGGAAACTTTTATCATCATCTCTGTCATGGATTGACTGCTGGCAGACAGATGATTTTGATTATATTTTCCCAATATTTAATCTTTTCCTCTGTTCTGTTTAATCTCACTTTGCATTTATGAGGAGGATGAACTTTGAGTCACCTGGGCTATTCCTTCATATCCTCTTGGCATTTTACCCTGCCTCACCCTTTCCTTCCACTTACCTAACATCTTTCAGTTTTTAGTCTTCTGGGGTTTATTTTATATTTTGGTGTCTTTGGCACTGGTATATAGAGTGAGGCATGAGACTTTCTGATACATATATCAGAGAGGTAACTGAGCCATGTCTGTGTATCACTAGAGGTTTGCAGTAATTTTCCTTGCTGAGAGTCTTCCACAAGCACTTGAGATGCTGCTCAGGGCCTTAAAACCCACTCCTTCTAAAGGCATTATGAATTCAGACACATAAAACGATCTGATTTAAAGCAGAATCAATGAGATTAAAGTGAAGACATTCTCATAATGAACTCTATGGAATGGAGCTGGATAAACCCTTGTAAATGTACCTAATTTTCATCTGTCTCTCTGCTGCAGCTGCAATTTTTCTGTGTTCCTCATGCCATATCTGTATTTTATCTTTTCTTTCGTCCTGTCCTTAGTGCTGTCAAGGAGTCTGCCTTCATATGGGTCTTTGGGATAGTCAGTCTATGTGCTGTAATGGTGACTATGGCTTCCATGACGAATGGAATGACCAAGTTAAAAACAGTCTTCCTAAACACTTTTAATGTTGTTTGTTTAAAAAAGGTTGGGGAGTGATCTATTATTGTAGCACGTCTTCTTCTTCTACAGTGCTATAAACTTTGTAACC